TCCAATTGAGTCAAATGCAAAATGTTTTCATAAATTATGTTTGAGATGGAGCCCACGTGTCAAAACTCGACATTTGGGATGAAGACGTGAGAATTGTTCATTTCCATTGACACTCACGAGAACTCGACAAGTGGTTTAATTGCTATTAAATTGAAGTTAAGTGACCTCAATTGAAGTTCAAAAAACACAATGCAATTAGGGTAAAGTCTAATGATAGGCTGTAAAATTAACCCAATCTTCTAACTACCTAAATGTAGAATAGATAAAGACTTATTTTCAAGTGCAAGATTCCAAATTAGTTTGACTTTGACCAAATTGGGGCCAAGACTCTAATGGACCATACAGATGTTTTATTAACCGTAGTTTCACAATTTTCAGTTAGTGTTGTTTTAGACCCTCAACCTTTAAAAGCAAAATTTTGAATCCCAACTTATTTAAATATATAAAATTTGATCCTTATGTAGTAGAAACTGTCCACGTAGATGTTAAAGTAATTATACACAACTTTTCAAGTGACTTAAGACTAAAGGACAAAACCATCAAACTGCTTGACATTCAAGTTTAAGTCAATGAACTTTGGAGTTCGTTTGAGCCCCATTTTATAGTCAAAAAAACATTTTAAAATAGTGATTTGATAAAGAATGTGTGGTTAAAAAATAAGAAAAATATTTGAATTTGCGTATAATATTATTTTATTGAAAATAAGATTAAAAAAAAAGTATTTTGAAAATAATGGGAATCAAATAAGGGCTTAATGTCTACATTGACCTTTTTGTTGTCGGAACTATGTGGTATGATATAGTAATTACCCATGATGAATTACATGGACCCAATCTTATTAACGGGATTGGCGCTAAGAGTTATGGCTGAGAGTTTTTGTCATTCAGGGGACTTAGATTAAGTTTATATTTGACAATTATTATTTTCAAACTGTTTTTTCTACGTGTTCATTTTCAACTACAAATTCACGTATTAGAATATTCTGCATGTAAATTCAAAACTTTTTCATACTTTTTAACCGCACTTTTTCCTAAAAAAATATTATCCAAAACTTTGTTTTCCACAATTAATGGTAGTCAAATATGGGCTAAGATATTTAAATACGTAAAGGATCGAGAATTTCAATTCTAAAAGTTAGAGACCCAAAATTACACAAATTAAAAGGTTGAGATCGCAACCCTAATTTTGCCAACATTCTTGGTAAACAAGAATTGTTCAATTTTTAACTAGGTATATTACAATTAGTACATAATTAAGGATAGTTTGAAATTGTGATTTAAGTTAAAATATTAGAGAAGATGAATGGTTAAAGCAAGTGGGTATTTGGTAACTGTGAATTGTGTCAGATAGAGATATAATAATTTAAGTATGAGATGGTGGTGCAGATTTATCACTGACAGATTCTCAAATTATTAAGCAACATGATGGGTCCTAACTATCAACATCATAGTATTTTTTTTTTTCAACTATAACTAGTTCTTGTTTAGTATAACCTAAAAGTTTGAGATCAAAAATTAATTTAAGGTCAAAATCAACAATTTATTTTAACAATACAGTTTATGAAACTCTCAACTTTTATCAACTTTTCAATCATACATAACGTTAACTTATATCAAGATATGGTGAATTTTTTTTAATTATCACACCGAATGATCATTAGTGTGTAACAGTCACATCAGTATGTGAAGTTAAAGAATGTAATTTAAATGAATAAAATGACTTAATTAAGATAAAATTAAAATATAATGACAAAATTCAATNAATGACTTAATTAAGATAAAATTAAAATATAATGACAAAAT